ATATATTTTATGGTGATACAGCAAACGCCCTTTTTTATTAAATCATGTATAAATGAAAAAAAAAGTTAATTTTCCGTTTTCGCTCATTTTAATGATAAATCACGGCATAAGATATCAAAAGATCCCAAAACAAGAGCAAATTGGATCATTAAGAACCACGACAAAACACATTCATTTTTTAATGCAATTCTAGTCATAACTTTATATAATTAGAATTAGTTGATCTTCTTATCAAAGAAAACGTGGTTTTATCCAGATATCTCGTGCAACGATTATTATTACAATTCGGAAAAACGGATGACAATCTAATTAAACTAAAAATACAAAATGACATCAACTTCAAAACAACAATGATAATAATGACATGGATCAAAAAATATCTAAAGCTTCTCAAAAATATTATAGAAATTCGTGGGCTTCAAATATCCCAGTAGCGGTATTTGTAGCTTTGTTAAAAGAAGCCAAATCACAATATGGAGAAAGTCTTCCTTTGAAAGGTAATGACATTGAAACATTTCATTTTTTAACAGAAGGTCCATTGGCTATATACCTGGCCACAAAAATGTTGATGGAAGACCTGGAAAAGATAAAAGATTTTGTATTAAATAGAAAGTTAATATCTTTCCCCAAGTCCAATGATCCCATTTGAAGATCAATTGATTACCAAATAGAAATGCAAATACTTAATCATAAAGAATATCCAGCCAAAGACGGATTTCAAAACAACAAGCAATTGAACATAATTGCAAGAGCAATATTAATTTACCCTGAACTAGTAGAATTCTGGAAACAAATTGGTTACCATAGTATATGTAAAGATGTCAATAATTTAGTGTTACAAGGTTCTTTGCTAATTTTATATGGTGCGCGAAGCCTATAACCACCATTTTTGCATGTGATTTTTGAAAGAATAGAAGTACATTTCTGTTGATCCTTTTTAAAAAATAACTCTGTTATTGCATAGATTGAGACTCAAACTTTATTGTGACAGAGAGATTTTTTCAAAATACTGATTGGTTATCGTGTTCTATTCCTTTTTAGTACATGTATTTTACTATGTTCAAGATGATTTGGCAGTAACACGATT